GGGGTGTGGGGGCTTTTTGGACCGTTGGCAACGGCTATTTTTGCAATTTAAGCCGTTGCCCAACGGCTAGTTTTTAAATAAAAAAAAAAACAGGCGGGACGGGACGGGACGCGGGACGGGACGGGACGCGGGACGGGACGGGACGCGGGACGGGACGCGAGACGGGACGGGACGAAGCGGGACGAAACGGGACGGGACAAACGGGACGAAACGGGCGTCCCGTCCCGTCCCGTGTCCCGCGTAACATTGGCCCATCCCGTTTAATTTTTAGCGGGACGGGACGGGACGAGACGGGACCGGGACGGGTCGCGGGACGGGACGGGCCGTCCCGTCCCGTTGGACAGCCATAGCTAGAACTAGAAGGAATAAATGGCAGCGCAGGAAAGAAACTAGACGCGTTTTGGAAAGATAAAATTAAGATTATTAAATTCTCAAGATTACGCTAGTGGGGTGGTAAGGTTTAAACAAAGTATAATGTGAAGTATCCAAGAGTGTAACCTAGTGATAACGAAGTATAATGTGAAGTATCCAAGGGTGTAACCTAGTGATAACGAAGTACGGGATAACTACGGGATCTCATGGTTTAAGATTTGGCGGAGATAAAAAGATAATAGTAAATGAGGTTTCCCTGCAATTATGCCTTATAAATAATACTGCAAACCAAAAAAAAATTAAATCCAAATAACCGAATGCACACCCTTGTGCAAGGCAAAACGGGTTTTTCCTACTCTTCGTCAGTTATGACAGTCTGGTGTACAAAGTATACAATGTTCACGTAGCGTCTGGGATGTAATGCAGACAGCATACCCTAATGCAAGCATTAGTAGCTGCTTTCACGACTCGACCCCGTGACATATAGGTTACACAGAGATAACTTTACCATTATTTCAAAGCTCCCCTTTCCAACAAAAGATATTTTGATAAGTCCAACTAGGGAAACATATTTAAAAAAAAAAAAAAAAAAAAAAAAAGGAAGGGGACACAAAAGAAAAGCGCGAGAAAGACGAAAAAGAAAAACGTGTCAAACGTTAAGTGTAGAATGGACAGAAACCAATGGGGAACTAAATTTATTCACCAAAATAAGGAAGAATTATAGTGAAAGTGAAAGAGGTTACTTACTTGTTTCCTAGTAGTACTAGTTTGTCCAATTAATGTTCTCTCATCAAATATTCTCTTAAACCTGTTTTGTTCAGTTCAGTCTATTCACTTCTTCCTTTGATTTTGAAGGTAAATAAAATATATCCAACACATACTATTTTTGGTTAGGTTGATGAAATTGAGAGATGGGAATAGGGTCATTAATGTCAAGAATGGCAGTAACAGTGGCTCTATTACTGTTGTTGGGAGAAGGGAATTCAAGCAATTAGATTTGTGATAGATAGAGAAGAGTGTTTGTCTCAGAATGTAGAATACCAAGGAGACACTCTTCAACTCTCCTTTCTTAATATAAACATATATTAAGAAAAGTCGATTCTTTTATGTGTATATATTCCCTTCGTCTCATATTATCTGTCATGATTCTCTTGTTAGGATGAGATTTTGACTACTTTATTCATGTCTTAACATTTAATCTTTCTTCATTGGTATGTGAATAAGGTTAGGTGTTTGTAGTCTTCAAGGGTAATTATTACTAAGAGTAAAAAAGGAAAAAGATAATCAATTTTGTCTTGAACTTCTAAAGTGATAAATAATTTGAGACAACTATTTTTGGTAACCACGACTCATAATATGAGACGGAGGGAGTGTCTGTATATATATATATTGTGCGTATACTGTGATTTGTGGAACAATGAAGACTCCAAACTTCTAGTATCAAGACAAAAAAGGGCTGCCGGTGCACTAAACTCCTGCTATGCACGGGGTTCGGAGAAAGATCGGACCACGAAATGTATGAGTTTAGGGCTCAAAGAAAAGGCGTTTATCAGTTTTGTTTTACAAATAAGTCGCCTTACCATGAATACATGGACTTTGATTTACATGTTAGCCATTTTACACATTACAATCAGCCTGCAAAAGATGGTAATAATCATCTTGGCTCATAACCATACTTTCTTCTCTGTTTTTCTTATTTTTCTCTTGCAACTCTCTATGGTTACACTTACACTGGAGCGAAGCTTACACTCTGGTAAGGGTGGTCCTTTGTCGGAAAATTACACTGCGCATATAGGTAAAATATTAGGTTTTACAGTTATATAACATATATTGAACACTCTTCGTCGGAATTTTTTTTTACCTCTTTCAAGTTTGAACACCCTAGGAAAAATTTCTGGCTTCACTACTGCACTTACAAGTAGGGGTGTTCATGGTTCGGTTTGGATCGGTTTTTCCCTAAAAAGCAACCAAACCAAGTAAGTCGGTTTTTCAAATATTAGAACCAAACCAAACCAATTAAGTCGGTTTTTCTCGATTCGGTTTATGTCGGTTTTTCGGTTTTTTCGGTTATTTGTCGGGTTTTTCTTAAATATAAGACATACACTACCAAACACATATTCCGGCGACCACATTTTCAACGTACCACTATCAAATCAATTGCCCTTTGAGAAATCTATTATTTACCAAGATATATTGCTGATAATTGAATCAAATAGTGATGAATAATTTAAGGACTCAATTAAAAATATGTTATTTTTAACACGAAATGGATTCTTACACTAAACAAAAGAAAACTACCAATCAAACTAGAATGTAAAGGTAAAGAACTATATTAAAAGTGCAAACTATTAACATTTACCATAAATTTTTTGAAACTTTGTATAACAATATACATATTTATAGGTGTAATAATAAATTTGAAATAGCTACTCCTATAGTCGGTTTGGTTCGGTTTTTTTTCTGATTAAAACCAAAACCAAACCAAATTTGATCGGTTTTTAAAATTCAAAACCAAAGCCAAACCAAACCAAAAAGTATCGGTTTTTTTGGTCGGTTTGGTTCGGTTTTTCGGGTTTTTATGAACACCCCTACTTACAAGTGTGACGATTTCGTGCTAAATGCCTCCAGAACACTTTGATCCATTGCTGGAACATATATCAAAATTAGACGCAGCACTTCAGAAGATACAGGTTGAAAAGCATTGGCTTGAAGCACAGACTGAGCGCCAGGCATCAGGTATCATCTTATGAATATTTGTGTTACATTCTTCACCAATCCCGACCCCCGACCCCAATCCTAGCCCGACCCTGACCTCGAACTCTGGCCCCTGAACCCCGACCCCGGACCTGGACATGTCTTCTTGATGATGGTGGGATCAGGGTGAGGTCAGGGGCTGGAG